CGTTTTAAAATACGAAATTCCGACGAAATGGACTAATGACATTTAAATTATTGGTCATCCTATCCATTTTTAAAGTGTGAGGCAATTCAATCTAAAAATCAACTTTTCTCTAAATTTTGAGAGTACGCCATGGCGTTTTAAGCGTATATGACGCTACGCCATTGTGTCTGACTATATTTTTTATTCAAAATGATTAAAATTAATTGTTCCATTTAGTTCACTATGTTTTAACATCATCTTGTTTTTTGTTGATCCGCCAAATTGTTTTGATATGTTTAAATGATAAAACAAATATTCCTACATACGTTTTCACCTGTTGAGCAATTGTCAACATAACCATTTACTTATGAATGAGGGGTCTAACAGGCAGGGGTCCATGAATTTACATATTGATATTTTTGAAGTTTACTCCTTATTATCTACTAATGAATCGGCTTTTGAAACAGTTATTAAACTGATATATAATAATTTTAGTTGTTTAGTTGAAAACAAGATTGTTGTGTCTGAGTATATTTTCGGTCAAGAGGATAAAAATAATTGTCACATTTATTTTACCTTCTTGAACATCTTTCTTGTTCTTCAGGATATGACCAGTAAATTTTCAAAGATATCAGAGAGGACAAGATGCACGGGCAATCTAAACATGAATCTGTGTCTATGCGTACGCGTATAGGTTTTTCTAAATGTTCCTTTTTGAGCATCAAAATCAATCTATTCACTCGTCGACAAAAACGTAAACAAAATGAGTGTCATTTAAAGGGTGACGCATATCGTTAAGCAAATCGAACGCTCGTTTCTGGTGTTGCTCACCATTTAGTATAAAAGGCCCGATCCCGGAATAATACTCAAGGGTTCACAGGTTCGAGGTCGTTGTGTCAACACCTCTAACTGTTATATAGCATAAGTATATTATAGATCGTCACACATTTATAAAAGGGTGATTTTTATTTTGACAAATCAATTCCACATTTATGGGTGAAGTTTCAGGATCTTCTATTTGTGTACAATAAGGAAAAATTGGCATCTAAATTTCCCCATAACGTAATAGCACACAGCTTGGCATATGAAATATCCTACAAATGAAACAAAGCAAGACAAACCAGTTTCTAATACAAGAATTTATATTGGCTGTTTGTACATGTATTATTTGAACGCAATCACTCTTAGGATAGCGTTTTCAAAATCATTATAAATGGATTACTTTATCTCAAAGACAATTTCAATAAACTGGATTTTACAGAACTCCCCTTATTTCTTAAAAATGGACTGATCCAGTTGATTCGCCTGGAGCCGCCATATTGTTTTTATACGGGATGGTAATCGAAACCCTTTAAACTAAAAAAGATGAGATGGCAACAGATGATTGGCTGTAATTGTGAATAGTGTTTGTATCCTTTTGTTGCGATAGACCTTTTGATTTGTTTAGTTATATAGTAACAGTATATTGGATTAGCTCAAAATATGTAATAGGGGTGGTCAATTTCCAGTATGATGGACCCCGAGGGGTTTTTGCCCCAAAATGCAAATTAACAATAACTTCTCTGTGATCTAAAGATGGAAAATCAATAATTTCACAGTTTTGTACATTATTAAAACATTTATCATTCATAAATATGTAATCAAGGCATCAGATAATATTACGACTTCTATGACTCCAAGAGTAGTCTTCTCATTTTTGTGAAATACCCTCCACACATCATTTAATTCTAAAGATAGCATCATATGAATAAAAGCATTGCGTTCTTTGACATCATGCATATTTCCTGAAATAGTATCAATGTTATACATTGCACAATTGAAATCACCACCAAGAATAATACTTGTAGTTTGAAAATCAACCTCACTAAAAATGTGCTCAATCTGTTGATAAAAACGAACCTTTGCTTTAGATTTATTGGGCGCATAAGCTGTAACAAACAGAAAGTTTTTATCATCAATCATAATTCAACTCCAATAAGTCTGCTTTTTTGAACCGTACATTTTTAACATAATTTTTCACTTTGTTGCTTATTATTATTAAGTCTCCTTTACTATTGGCAGAACCAGGATGATATATAATATCTCCACCACCATACCATGCAGATATGCTACTTTCAAATCAAGAACATAAATAAACATATTTTTGCTTTTTTAGTCATTTATTCATGGAACAAAACTCATGTTACTGCCAACTCAAAAAGCTAGAGTTTCTCGTCTCAAATCAATGGCTGTATAAAATGATTGAAACCGTGAAATAAGTACTCCAAAGTTATTGTATTCTCAACCTTACTTAAAATTGAACCCTTCAATGACTGTATCATGTCCCATGTAGGTGGGTAGGTGTTACTTCGGTCCAAAGCCTTCTCTATATTCCGGCTTTGAGGAGGAAGATTGAGCTGCCTTAGTATTATAAATATTGTAAATCATTGTGTCACACGCACAGTAAATATGGCATAATAATATGAAATATACCTTTATGTATAGATTTGAAGAACATCAGCTCACATGCCCGTCTGAATCTATTGTTATATTTGATTTCTTTAAGCGAGAATAATTTCAAATGTTATTCACGTCCAGAACCGGAAGCCATTTTTAGCTACAGCGAGAAAATTTCACCATGTGTCAAACTCCGAAATGAAATTTTGAAATATCTAAATCCAGACAAGCAACGCTTCATCCTAAATATGATTAATATTCTTTAAAATATTTATAAAATTTATTAAAAATGAGTTCTAGGTGCATGTAGGTGCGTGTAGCACAGTACATACGAAATCAATGAAGTTTCGTCTAGCTGTAAGCTAGAGACTCGAGTAAGGTAGGTGGGTATGAGGTAGGAGGTTTTTTATACAAAACCCGGGCAATAACTCAAATACCGTTGTCCCGATTTTGTTCATATTTTGTACACATATACCCTATGGGGGTAGAAATTCTGCTCGAATGCCAATTTTCAAAATGGCCGCTCATTCAAAAATGGCATACCTGTCACACCTTCTTCCAAAAGCCCCTATGCCCCTTGTACTGACTTTTGCAATGTTTTAAACTTGGGTCCGAGCTGAAATTTGCCCTACTTTGCAAAATTAATGATTATTCAGCCAGAGATGACTCCCTGTGAATGAATGATATTCCATTACAAAGAGGAGTAATTTGGCTTTTGGTACATTGAATTAAAAGGATGCAGTCAGCATTGGTATTATGTTTTCATCCAATATTGCATCGGGATCCGTACACTGACTTTTGCAATGTTTATAACTTGGCCCGAAGCTAATTTTGGCCCACTTTGCAAATGGAATGATTACTCGCCCAACCATGACCAAATATTAATGAATGAGATATCATTGTAAAGAGGAGATACGTGGCTTTAGGTTGCATTGAATGAAATGAATGCTGTTATCACTGGTTTTGTGCTTTTCCAAGATAACAATCTGTTGCGTTTTTTTGATACGCACTGTATAAGCATGGCACACTGTCTGATGACACTTTTGGTAGAAGGCGGCCATTTTGATAAATGGCCACCATTTTAACGTATTTTACTAGAACTCGAAAAGTAGTAGAGTGATTTTGTTCATATTTGGTATGTGAATACTAGAAGCATGGCACATTGTCTAATGACTTTTTTTGGTAGAAGGCGGCCATTTTGAAAAATGGCCACCATTTTAACGTATTTCACTAGAACTTGAAAAGTAGTGGGGCGATTTTGTTCATATTTGAATACTAGAAGCATGCCACATTGTCCACATTGGCCATTTTGAAAAATCGCTGCCATTTTTGCTATATACTTTGTTTGTAAAAATGCCACCCATGGCTGTTCGATGGGATTTGCTACGCTTTGGCGTTGCTGTCTAGTATAAAAATGGGGGCCATTTAGTGCCGATTTTAAAATGATTTAGGTACAATATATAAAATTGTAATAGCAAATATGTTTTCAATGTAAAAAATTATATAGGACAATAATAAAGCTAGAATTGTAGATATCGAAGAAGCACACGGCAGCCATCTTGAAAAATGGCGGTCTTTACACGGTATACAAAAAGGTATTTTTTTACAGTAGTTTGTCATTTTTTTACGGAAAAACGATTAAATACGGTACGGTACCTACCGTGAAAATACGGTAGGTTGGCAGGTATGCATAAGCATGGCACACTGTCTTATAACATTTTTGGCAATTAGGCGGTCATTTTTCAAAATGGCCACCATTGACATGTACATGTGCAATTTTGTTGAATGTGCCTTCTTAGAAGCATATTACACTTTCTGATGACAATTTGGATGTAGTGAACATCAATTTTGAAAATGTTGACTATTTTTGTGTGTTATTTTAGGATTGGCTGTTCGATGGGATCTGCTACGCTTTGGCGTTGCTGTTGTCTAGTTTGATGTGTAATCCACTTTTTTATTGGGGCTTTATTATGTTTATCAAAGCTGTTCCCCAGAGTTACACATATTGTCAAACTTATTTTGAGTTATGATTTTGTAACCGATTCATGATTTTGTTAAGATAGAATCTATGAACATACATTAGTGAATCGAGATCGTCAGGTGGAAGATCTATCATTGGTGCAACTACGTTCCCTTTGGTACCTCCTGACTTAAATTGAAAAAGGAACTTTTTTATTCATTTTGTACAGCGAACATTGGAAATGAATAGTTTGTGCTTTTTAGCTCACATGTTCTAGTATGAGTAATTTGTTTTTGCCCACTTCTCTTTGCTCAAGTAGCATCTTAACACTGGAGTTTTCGCCATCCACTTTCTTCCTTTTCACACTCCCACACCCTAATCATAATCATATTTTCAAATTGTGAATCGCAAAATAGCAATCTGAACACGTGGAATTTAAATAAATTAATAATACATTAAATTTGGCGAAACAGGTCTGAAATGCCTATCATAAGCATAAAAGACTCATAAATCTCATTGACGAAAAGCCATCCTTTTATACATAAACCTAAAAATATTGAATGAAAGAAAAAATTAAATAAAAAACCTCAGTTTAAGGGTATATAAAATGCCTCTTTTGTTTCAGCTACGCAAGGTCAAGTATGTGAAGGGAGAGGTAGAGAAAAGCAGGAGTGACTATGGGCAGAAGCTGGCTAGGGAATTCACAATGCACAACAAAGCTCCTCTATGGAATGAGAATAGTCAGGTTTACCAATTAGACTTTGGAGGAAGAGTCACACAGGAGTCTGCCAAAAATTTCCAGATTGATTTAAATGGAAAACAGGTGAAGTGTACATATGACCACCTTCAAGGGAAATATTAAAACTACTATGATATCCCAGCATGAGTATTCTTTACAACTGATGTTTCCAAGTCTGTCTTTTATTAGTGTTTAAAGACATTCGTCAATGTACAAGAGAGGCACTTGTCTAGCATATTCAAATCATATGAATCGTTGCAAAAAGATCGCGCACATATTCTTAAAGATTCCACAATGTGACGTTTTTGAGAAAAATGTACATTTATGGAAATCCTTTCGTCCTCCACATTTGCCTCTACATCTAAAAATAGGTGAATGGCAATTCGCCCCATTTTAATGATTTTTGAAAACCTTTCGTCCTCCACTTTTCCACATACAACAGGAAACAAATGTTTGCGAACAAAATCAACTATTTATTAATAAACTACAGTTTATGAGCAAAATAATCATGTATGATTTATTAAAAATTGGTCTCATATTTCAATGTACACCTGAAAAGTTGAAGGTAACAAAAAATGAGCAAAAAGGTCACTGTCGACAGATTTTATTTTTCAAACTATATAACAGCAGATATTTGCCAGATTTTGAGGTAAAAAACTCTTTTTTAAAAAAAGAACATGCAAGAATTGTGAAAAGAGTGTACTTGATTTGAAAACTCCATTAATGTAGCTTTAAAATAATATATACATTTGATTAGAATAATATCTTATATTTGTTGTAGTATCAATTTGAAAAACTTTTTGAGTTTCAAAAATTCGTTCCAGCGTACTCAGTCATAATAACACTTGGTAAAATTAATTAATAAATCTCTCCATTTTACCTTTCAGGTGATGCAGTTTGGAAGAATAGATGGCAATGCATACACACTTGATTTCCAGCACCCATTCTCAGCCCTTCAGGCATTCTCCGTTGCTTTAGCTAATGTAACACAGAGATTAAAGTGATTCTGTCTGTTTAGCTCATGGAGACATTAGGCTTGCAGTGTTTGTCACAAATTAACTGTGAACGCAAAGTAAATGAATCAATACAGTAATATGTTTTACGCACATGCAAAACAAGCATTAACTAAGTCTACTTCAGATACCCGATCAGCTTTAGCTTTGTGTTTTGAACATGAGATTTACAATTTCACATTGGTGTCAACAAGAATCATTCTAGTCATGTCTGTTGCTGGCAATTTTGATTTCGATGCACGGTATAATGCTTTCTGAAGAAAATGATGTGTGTCATACATGTTTTAGCTCCAAATATCTTACAAAACAGCTGGTTTAAATATGTATCATAGAAAACTAGCTTTATAACTATCAATGGCACAATGATGTATAGTCTAAGTAATGTAGTAAACACTGTAACCGAACAGTTGTTTATGTGGGAAAACTATGTGCATTTGTATAGGGTGATTTATACATACAGGTTGCCATTTCGATTTTAAATGCTTTGCTTAAAGTCTCCATTGTTCCACAAAGACTAAAGTAATTCTTGTCTGATTAGCTACATGTAATGCCACTCAGACAAAAGTAAGCTCTGTCAAATTAACTTATGCCACACAGAGACTAAAGTAATTCTATCTATTTAGCTCATGTCACATAGAGACTAAATTAATTCTCTCTGCTTAGTTAGTATGGAATTTATTTTGTATCAAAATTGGACATTACATGATCCATTGGAAAAATCGAACTATATGCATGATGCAATACTCGAACTAATGATTCGAAACTCGCATCATACTATGCGAAATACGCATCATTATATGCTAAACTGGCATCATCGTATGCCATTTTCAATCCATGTTATACCAACAGTAAATTTTCTTACATAACGTATTTTCATTCACACACGCACTGGTTGTATCAAGTGTCACACAAAGAGTTAGCACTAACTCCAATCACTTTCCAAAAATCCAAAAGCAATGTTGAAATGTCACACGGATTGTGTTATATATTGCATAGAATACTGAAAGAATTACACATGGATCAAAGTTCAAACTGGCATAGGATGGTTCCCGCTCGCATAGGCTGTCACAAACAAGTTGCACTTCACATAGGATGGGAGATTTGAAGTCACGTGATATTTACATCCTGGTTTCTACAATATGGCTCCCTCCGTTGAAATGTTATATAATGTAAATTTCAAAAATTAGAAATATATAATTTAGCCTAATTTGGGCCTCTCCTCTCCGGTCCCCCTTTCTCCATTTTTCTAATGGATACCCTAGGCCCTTGGCTAGGGAGACGTACAGTGGCCATTTATTGAGAAACTACAAACTAGATGTTATTTCATTCAGTGCAAAAGAAATGCGAGATTTAGGAAAAAATCTCTAGAAAGCAATTTATGTTACATCAAGGTGCGTGATCGGTACATCAAGGTGTGTGATCGGCACATCATGGTTTGTGAAGGGAAAAACGTTTGTGCGAGCAGCATAAGCATTTGTTTGACTTGTGTACCCTGTTCGATGTCATTTTTAAACAATGCATACACAAATACGCTGTACAAGTGTGATTTTACAAACATAGTGTCTGCTAACTCGAACAAACCATGTATGAAATCACACGGATTGTGTATGTATTCTGCTAAACACTATTTTATGTGTTAGAGATATCACATAAATATAAGATGTCCAATTTTGATACAGTTTTAACACCACAAGATCAAAGATATCAAATGAGATGTTAATTTCATGTCTTTGGAATTTCCTTCTGAATTTCCCATAAAATCTCAAGAAGTGATTTTGTCTCAATGTTGATTTTCCGAAAATTCTCTTGAAAGCCCATGGCCAAACTTGATATCAAATTATCATCCATAGATTCAAGTTTATGCACATAAAAAATTGGAATGATAGGTATATAAGAAATTATTGCACTTTCAGAGGGTTCTGTTTTTTGGGTCACCCTGTATCGCTCATTTGAGGACAAATTATAGCCCCAAAGTAGTCATAGTTGAATCATTTCACTTTTATAGAAAAAATTAGTGTTTTGATCAATGAAAACGTGTAAAAACTATTTTGTAATTCCCTGCAAATTTAGCTAGTGTCACACAGACTAAACTAAGCTTATGCCACTTACAGAGTAGTTCAAAACAATTTCACCCAGCAATGTTTTAACACAAAATAACTGAATTCTTATTTGCCTCTAGCTAATGGTACTTGTACATAGGCGCAACGTTGTTGTCATGGATAGTCTGTTGGTATCAATAGGGGGGAACCCCCAGAGTTTCAGCGATGACTGACATATTACGTCTCTTTCGTACCACCTTCGTTTGCGCAAATTCTCACCAGTAAGCATCGTTATGATGTTTTAACCTATGTAAGCATATTCCTTACATTTTTCTTTAACTTGATATGAAAATCCAAGCTATTATATAACACGCTAGAAATTAGCATAATACTATTCAAAGCGTTATTAGAAAATTTTGAATCTGCCATTTTTGTTTGTCAATTTGGACCAATCAGAGTATACGTCATCTCAATACAGGTTTACATTATAATAAGCGTATGTCATCTTTGAACTCTGGGGTTAATCCCTCCCCTGTTTGTATCCAGAGTATCTATTAAGTTGTATAACAGAACATATAATAAATTCAGTATTATAATGCAAAGCAACAAGGCATGTTATTCCGTTTTGTGCAGTAGAATCTGGTAGACATCCTTTTGTGAGTCTGCGAAAAGATTTCACAATCTATTATTGATATTCCATGCGTTCGACTTTTTTATTTTTTATTTATTTATTTATTCATTTATATTTCAACATCAAATGTACAGTAAACGGGTGACACTTATCGTGTATATTCCCGTGTTTAATATCAAACATGAAATGTACAGATTGGGGATCTGCTTTGTGTGATGAATGCTACTATCTATGACTGACTAATTATGTGTCATATAATGCCCACTATGGATATCTAAAATTGATACTATTGATTGATAAAATATTTTTTCAATTCTTTCTTCATAATAAAAATACTTCCAGATGGTGTTATTTCAGTAGGTAATGAATTCCAAATTGATGGTGCAGTAAAAGATATCAAAGCTTTACCATAATTTGTTCGAATTTTGGGTTTGTCATAATTAACCCTATTTCGGGTGTTGTAAGCATGTCTCTCTTGGATGGTACTGAAAAGGTTTGAAAAAATTGTATGATAATTATGGAGTTTATTAATCCATTTGTACACGAAAAGGCATTTCAACTGCTTATTAATATCAAATATAATCAAAGTGTTCAGTTGTTTAAACATCTTGAAGTTTGGATTTTATTATGGTGTGATAAAAGAATAATGAAAGAAAGAAAATGAAGTGCTGATTATGCATCCAGCTATTTAATATTCACAAAGATATACGTTACCGCAATGCCGTCAATCTGGAAAAATATTTTGTCATCTGCATGCCCGTAGCCAGGTTTTGGTAAGGGGGGGGGGCACCCTATCCACACACAAAATGTTTTCATGCTTAACCAACTTCACATTGTGACCCTAAGGGTGTTATTAACAGGACACCAGGGATGGCCACGGAAACAAGGGAGGAGACCCAAAAATTTCCGCTTGCACAGAAGAAAATCAGGGCCTAAAGGATGTGTCCGGATATATGCGCTTTTGGTCCCTCAGTCAAATGTATGTGAAATATGTTTTTTACTGTCCTAGTTATATTTGATAAGTATATTAACTTTTTCATGAGTTTTGATGCATAATTAACTCCCTGCTGAGAGTCAGAATAAGTATCTTAACAAAAATAAAATAGTCATTAGAGAGATTTCGCACATAAGTGAAAGTACAACTTATACGTATACGTATACTTTAAAGGGTCGTGTCGAACTATTATATTTACTAAAATCAATTTTAAATTGTACTTAATGGAACATAACTATTCCCGTTATAGAAAAGCTCCACCAACTAGAGACTGTGAATGCACTGTCATCTGCACGTGTAGATTATGCACATTATAATTAAATGCTTGCTTCCGTGTCCTTGTAGTTGTAGTGTATTATAAACACGATCCTTTAAAGTGAGTCATGATTCTTTAAAGTGAGTCATTACCCCCGTATCACACCAAACTAGTTCTTACCCGTTCTTGCCAGTCCTACGAAAATGTCGTAAAACGGGCTCAATCTGGCTGCGGTCGGGATATATGTCTAAAATAATTAGCTAATTCGTTCATAAACAGTCTTCAATACGTCCATCTCATTCGCAGTTCGTTCAGGTCGCACCACGTCGGTGTGCAACGTAGTATAAACCGTCCCTTAGTCTAGAAGGTCATAATGACCTGATTACAGAACGGCATGGTCGCCATCGAATTTTGAATCGATTCAAAATTCTAAATCACGTTCCCCGTCCAGGAAAGTTCATGAAGTTCGTAAACAGACCGTAGAACGTTGTAGCTACGTTCATTCAGTTCACACACAGTTTAAAGGGTTCCGATTAGCATCCCGTATAAAAACAATATGGCGGCTCCAGGCAAATCAACTGGATCAGTCCATTTTAATTAAGAAATAAGGGGAGTTCTGTAAAATCCAGTTTATTGAAATTGTCTTTGAGATAAAGTAATCCGTTTATAATGGTTTTGAAAACGTTATCCAAATGGTGATTGTGTTCAAAGAATACATGTACAACAGCCAATATAAATCCTTGTATTAGAAACCGGTTTGTCTTGCTTTGTTTCATTTGTAGGATATTTCACATGCCAAGCTGTGTGCTATTACGTTATGGGGAAATTTAGATGCCAATTTTTCCTTATTGTACACAAATAGAAGATCCTGAAACTTCACCCATAAATGTGGAATTGATTTGTCAAAATAAAAATCACCCTTTTATAAATGTGTGACGATCTATAATATACTTATGCTATATAACAGTTAGAGGTGTTGACACAACGACCTCGAACCTGTGAACCCTTGAGTATTATTCCGGGATCGGGCCTTTTATACTAAACGGTGAGCAACACAAAAAACGAGCGTTCGATTTGCTAAACGATATGCGTTACCCTTTAAAACCAATTTGGCAACGTTTTGACGATCACCAGAAATTTTTAGCATGCTCTAAGTTCTGGAGGACCTACTCGTTCTAGTAGTTTCATGAAGTTTTTAAACAGATCCCAAACGGTTCTTAGTTGGTTCTTAATACGTCAAATCCGTTCGTGTACAGTTTAAGCCCGTTTTCGAGAACGTAGTGAGAACCAGTTTAGTGTGATAGTAGGGTTACATAAACAAGTTGATTATTTCAATGTTTTCACGATCAGTATAAGTTCAATGAACTTACAAAACGGTATATTTACGTAGATGATAACGTATACAGTTGG